GACACAACATCTTTGTTTGTTTGTGGTGCTGAGGATTGAACCCGGACCATACGCATGCCAGGCGAACGCGCTACCGCTTGAGCCACATCCGCAGCCCATGGGTACAATTCTTTATCAGATTTATGTTTTGCAAGTCAGTTTTCCCTACCTGTAGCTTTTCTTTTTACCCTCTTAACATTGTCTTTCAAAGAACAGAAATATTATTTTTTTAATGAAAATAAGCTTTATTAGCATCAAGCAATAAATACATGCAAAGATGCAGTTTTTAGTTATTTTCTTCCAGATGTTTTGATCAACTTACAGTAAACACAGAACCATAGGCCACATACAGTCTTAGTATGAAAAATTTCAGGGTCCTCTTAGATTTGGCAGGTTGCTCTTTCTTCCATATTTATAACTTGTGCATTTTTAAAATTGACTTCAAAGCATTAAGTCATGCAAATGCATAAGCAAAAAAGAAGTGCCATTAAGCAGAATCTACACTGTATGGCAGGCACACTGACCAGCTAAGTGAAGTGGTCAGGATGCATTAAAATAAAGTCTTTGGGATTGAATGAGTTTATGAAAAGTAACAAAGAACAATTTGGGTGACATAAAGTACTCAACAACAACAACAAACCTAGGTCATTCCTAACTACTTAAAATGCAAATCTTAATTAACTTTGAAATCTTTCCTAATATTTTGAAACAGTAGGTTCAGAGCCCAGTGAACTTTGGGAGAAAAAATCTAAAGACTATTACCATTTTGAAAACAAGTGTTTCATCTGAACAAGGGATATGAGCTGTAACCTCTCATACTATAGAGAGATGAGAACCTCCCAAGGTGACCAGGAGGCTAGGATCTGGCATTCCATTCTGTTTCTGGCAAGCAGACACTCTCGAACCAGTCCTCGAGCATGACCAACACCTCATTTTAGTTTCTCCATAGCACTATTGCTCCCTGCATAATGTGTCTTATATCCTTCCTCAGCTCTTCATTAATGGCCAAAAGTTCTGCTTCTAGTTCTGGGGTACCTGTCTGTGGCCTCTAGTTGCTCAGCAGTTGGCAATATCGGGCTGTCAGGCTGGTGGAAAGCAAGCAGACACTTCTAGTGGCTTTAGGGCAGCAGCAGGCCTGTTTTATGAAATATTTGGTTATCCTTGAGAATGTTCACATACTGCTTGACATTAAGGTATTCTGCAGATGGTAAGTGTAGTGTCCTGTAAATGTCAAATCATGTTGGTTGATAATGTTCAAATTTTATAATATCTTGCTGACTTTTGTCTGTGGATAACAATCTGTGGATGCTCAAGTCACTTTCAGTACCAGTTACTGAAAGTGAAGTATTGATGCTGAATCATTTATTTCTATTTTCAGTTTTACGAGTTTTTCTCTTCACATATTTTGGGGTTTTGTTGTTAGAAGTATATATAATTGTAATATCTTGATATTAATCTTTTATCAAAATGTCGTTTTTTGTCTTTAGTATTTTTCTTAAAATACTTTTGCTTGACATTAATGTAGTACTCTGGCTCATTTATGGTTACTTTTTGTATTATATATCTTTCCTGTCTTTTTACTTTCTGTATTTTTGAATATAAGGCATATTTTTTGTTTGTTTTGTGTGTTTTGTTTTGTAGATAGCATATAGATGGTCTTGCTTTTACTATTTGACAACTTGAATCATATTCATACTAATGTAATTACTGATATGTTCAGAATCACATCTGTTGTTTTTCTATTTATACTCCATACATCTTAGGTTGGGTTTTTTGTTTTGTTTTAGTTTGGTTTTGGTTACTCTTTCATTGTCTTTTCTCTGTTAAGTAAGTACAATCATCCTTCAGTATCCTCAGGGGAATTGATTCTAGGACCTCTGTGGATAACAATCTGTGGATGCTCAAGTTTATCTTATATAAAACAGCAGAGTATTCGCATAGAACCTATACAACATCCTCCAATTTAACTTTATATTACTTACAATACCTACACAATATAAATGTTATGTAAATAACTGTTATACTGTATTGTTCATGGAACAATGAAAAGGAATTCTGTATGTGTTCAGTACAGCACAACCATCATAGGCCTAACTACATAATACTTGATCAATGGATATGCAGGGTCAACTGTATTTGTAGTGTGCCATTTGAATTTCTGTTGATTTTTAAAATTATATTTTTAACTGTTTTCATGTGGTTGTCTATAGATGACAATGTGCTCTTGACAGTGATCTTCAAAACACTAACTTAATTTCTATAAAATATAGAAACTTTGATCCAATGCATCTTTTTTGCCATCCCCTCACTCCCACCTTGTGTTATTATGTCAATATATACAATGTACATATATGATAATGTGTATACATGTCAGGGTATAATACTATGTTATAATTATTGCTTTATATAAACTTATTCTTTTAATGATATTGAAGAAATGACATATATTTATGTAGCCTTTTATATTTACTCACATTTTGTCATTCCCAGAACATTTCATTACTTCCTGTGGATTTAGGTTACTTTTTTATATCACCTTTGTTCAGCCTAAAAGGTTTCATTGAGTTTTTCTTATAATGTAGAACAACTAGCAATCTATGAGTGATGTTCTAGTTTCTTTCTTCTGGGCTTTTTTTTTTTTGTACTAGGGATTGAACCCAAGGGGCTTTATTACTGAACTATATATCCAATCCTTTTTTATTTTTTATTTTGAGAAAAGTCTTGCTTAGTTGCTGAGGCTGGCCTCAAACTTACAATCCTCCTGTCTCAGACTCCCAAGTTGCTGAGATTATAGGCATGCATTACCACTTCTAGCTTCATCTTCATATTTGAAAGTGACTTTGGTTGAAAATAGAATTTTTGTTTGACAGTTTTATCTTCTATCAGCATTATAAATTCTGAGGTATGATGTTTCTAATAAGAAGTCAGACACCAATCATATAATTATTCTTCTGCATATGATGAGTCATTTTGTCCTAATTGTTTTCAAGATTTCCTCTTTGTCTCTCAATTTTTTTATTATGATGTATTTAAATGTGGATGTTTGTGTTGATTTTAACTGGAGTTCTTGAGCTTCAGAGATCTATAAATTAATAATTTTCAACAAATTTGGTAAGTTAAGGGTCATTATTTTTCAATATTTTTTAAAATTCCCCATTTTCTCTCTTCTTTTTGGTATTTCCATTATGCATACTCCAACATTTGATGTCCCGTACATTTGTACAGCTCTGTTCATTTTTACTTCAATATTTTTACTCTCTCCTGAAAAATGATTTCTATTGATTTCAAGTTTACTAATTGTTCTGCCATCTAAATTCTACCATTAGTCCTACTCATGAATTTTTCATTTCCATATTAAACATTTCAACTCCAGAGTTTCTGTTTAAAATTAATTTCCATCATTTTGTTGAGATTTCCTATTGAGTCACTATCATCAGGTTCTCCTTTGGTTCTCTGAACATGGTTTGTTTCTGTTCTTTGAATATAATTATATTAGCTGCTGAAGACTTTATATGCTAATTCCTACATCTGGAGTATTTAGAGTTTATTTCTACTGTTTTTTTTCTTAAGCATAGATCAGTTTCTTATGCTTTTGTATGTCTACTATTTTTTGATTGAATGCTAGACATATTAGAGAATATACTATAACATTCACTAGCTACATGGCCCTCTTCTGCCTTTTCTGCACATATGTGCAGATTCTGTTAGGATTTTGTGGCCCAATTAGAATCTGCTATGTATATACACAGCTTTTGGAATCCAGGATATGTGAGGATCTTATCCAATTCCTATGGCTGTATCATCTCCTAAAATTTCCTATGAAATTCACAGAGAGTCTGCCAGTCTGTGTCTTGCCTGCAATAGACCCACACTTAAGGCTAAGAGTGTCACTAACGCTTCTTGATCCTTTCTCCTCAGAGATTACATTTTAAGTGATGATGTTAAAAATCAAGTGAACCTCTCTAGCATCAGTAATAGAAAATTTCTGGTTTTCATGACCTTCCCTTCCCTTATTGAATTTCCCCATTGATAGAGCTGGTGGTATGGGGTGAGAATGGGAGCAGCTCAAAGCAGAAACATCATACATTTGTGCTGTTTTTACCTGAAATTCAGTAGTTTTCTTGAATAAATAAATCCATCTCAATTTGTTATATGTTTTTAGTCTATTTTCAGAATATAGCTTTAAAGTTGCTTTTTGGGGATAAGATTTGTCAAGTTCCTCATCCCATCATAGTGGAAATGAATTTTTTACTTTTCCATTTTAATGCTCGTTTTCATTTTAAATAAACATGTACTGGTTAAATGATATGAAAGTGTTCCAAAATGTTAAAAGCAAAATATATGTAGAAGATATCAGGATGTCTTTAAGGTATAGCTTAATAGATCTTGTGTAGGTCCTTTATATTATTAGGTCATATCAGAGAATCTATAAGTAGAAGGGTAGAAGAAAAAGAAAAGAAATAGGAAAGCAAGAAAGCCATCAAAAGGGACAAGAAAAAGAAGAAAGCTCACCAAATTTGAGGAGTAACCAACCTGAGTGTAGTGGATAGTGAAGATGGCATGGGATCTGCTGCTGGCCTCGTGAACATGGGTGGCTGCTGTGATTCTGTGTTCATAAGAGAAGACAGTTAGTATAAGAAATTTTTACGCATGGTGGACCCTAAAAGATCCGTGGGGAACACAAGAAATGTTAGTACTGAAGGTCACAGATGAGAATCATAAAACTTCATATGAAGTCTAATACAGTTAGAAAAGAGGTCCAAAGAGGGCAGAAGCAGCACTCTAGGTGCTGATATGTGAGAATAAATGGAAGAATAGTTTCATATTAACCGACAATAAAACATTTCTAAAAACTGATAAAGCAAAAATCAGAGTAAAAAGGGGAATATTAGAGTGCAATCAATCTGGAAAAGTACCCCTAAGACAAACCCATTTATTTATTTTATTTTTGCTACTGGGGATTGAACCCTGGGGCACTCAACCACTGAGCCATATCCCTAGCCCTCTTTTGTATTTTATTTAGAGACAGGGTCTCAATTAGTTCCTTAGCACCTTGCTTTTTGCTGAGGCTATCTTTGAACTCATGATCCTCCTGCCTCAGCCTCGGGAGCCACTGGGATTACAGGCATGAACCACCAGCCCAGGGCAAAAGTGGTATATTTTAAAACAAAAGTATACCAGTAAATCTCTGGGTTTACTGCCTAATATTATTATATCCGGACAAACTTCATTTTGTTTGTAGTGAGAAAAAGCACTAAATCTTAGTGACTGCCCCTTCCCCTGGGTACACTACTATTCTGAGAAGGTTCTCCTGGTTGTAGAGTAGGGAGCTGCAGACAGAGACAGTGTAAGTGTTGTCATGCACTCCAAAGGGGACTAGAACACAGGGCAGGGGAATGAGGTGAAAAGAATGATGGGAACAAACAAACCTGTTACCTGTTTGCTATTCCTTCCTCCAAGAGTTGAATTACTTGCTTATAGTTGGTAACTACATGTTGAGACAGACCTTTCATATTTGTGAGGGGGAGAAAAAAATAAAAATGAATTTTTTTATAAAGTTTAACCTTTTCATGTAGGTCTTTAACTTTATCATTCACTTTTTATATCATTTGATAAAAAAGAATGAGGAAATAACTAACTTCATTCAGATAATGAATCAACAAATACTTAATGGAAACCTACTGTTACATACAGGGTGATGGGCTCTGAATAGGTTTTTTCCTTCATAGAGATTATGATTTAGAATTCATGTAACAACTATGCTAACAATTTCTTAAAATTTTGTTATGCAGATTATGATGAGCCCAGTCTAATTCCATTTTAAGATTGGGAGCCATCTCATCACAAAGTCATGAAAAGTTAATTTCTGTTTTACTATAAATTACTGTGATTTCTAAACTTGTTTGGAATTCCTGCCTATGCCCTGAACTTACCAATGCCTGGTTTTCCCTGACCAGATAACAACTCTCTCTAAAACCTTAGTGGCACCTCATAAATCCTGTCTCCCCCTAACCAGATAACAACCCTCTCTGAAACCTCAGCAGTGCCTCATAAATTCTGATGTTGGGATCTGAATTTACACCCTACCTTAAAATATCATGCCATGTAATCATTAACCTGTTATCTGCCTTTGTATTATGCTTGTCAAAATCCTGTTATCTGTAAGTTCTCAAGACAACCCCCTTTGCAACTTTTTGTGCTGTAAAATTGTGTTCCTGGAAAGCTGGAGTACTGATCTCTAGCCCAGGGTTTTCAGGAGAGACAGTCCTGGCCAGCTCGGTGTACCCAAATACAAGCTAGCTTTAATTTGATTTAAAACTGAAGTCAATGGTCTTTTCTTTGCATCCGGGTTCAACAGTTACACAAAATGTTCATATATTACCTCATTTGACCCTCAGGATTCCTGAGATGGGCCCATGCTATGATGCCCACAAGGTGGCAGACATGGTTTGGCACATAAAATATATGATGCACACACTTCTATTCTTCACACCTCTGCAGTTTACAATCATGAGGAGATTTATTGTTTACACAAGAGAGTACAGACAAGTGCCACAGAAATAAACTAAACACTAAGGAAATCAGAGCACTGTTCAGGGAAAGCTCCACTGAATTGAGCCACTATAGAATGGGTAGGCTTTACACAGGTGAAAAGGAACCTAAAGTATGTAAATACATCTTTATGGCTGGTATTGACCAAGTCACAAAGGGCCTTTTTACAACCATTCTAGAGAATCTCTATATTCTGTATTACAATTTCTGAGCAAAATAACTTCATAGGCCTGCTACTAAATATAGTTACACCAAAAATTAACAAAGTAATTTAAATGGTGACTGGATTTACTATATTAAGGAATTCTCCTTATTTCAATGTGATAATAGTTTTGTGGTTATATTTTTTAAAAAACAGGCCTTATCTTTCAGCACTACATACTAAAATGTTTATAGTTAGACTGATGTGACATCTGGAATGTGCCTAAAAATAATAAAGGATGATGGAAGTGAATGGGAATGTAGATAAGTCAGGAGCTGCCAAGAGTTAATGGTATTATGACTAAATAACAAGCACATGGGGTTCATTATACAAGTGTGAAGTGTGTCTAACTCTGCATATATTCAAAATTTTTCATGATAAGAGTTTATAATTTTTAACAGTAAGGAGAAAGTCTACTTTTGATAATGGCAAATTAGATAATACAGACTATTAAAAGACTTCTAGAAAAAGCTGTATAAAAAATAAAGACATCTGCTTAAAGGTGCAGAGGGGGGTGACCAGTTAGTGAAAAAATTTCAGGCTGTATACTGGGGGGAAGATGGAAACCCAGAGAGATAAAGTCAACATTTGGGGATGCTTATCACACCCTTAGGGACATTTTCCAAATCTTGAGGGGAAGTGGTTTAGCCCATTTAGATAAACTGGCAGATTAGGATTAGAGTCCAGAGCCCACCCAAAGTGAATCCCCCACTTTGAAAGAAAAAACAAAGGACCGTAACACAAGAATAGGTTGAATTAGAAGTAAATATCCTTTTAAAGGGCTGCTTCTAAGCTTTGAACATTTTCAGTCCTTAAACTAAACTGAGGTGATCTCAACCACTAGTGTGCACAGAAACCTATTATAAATAAATATAAGTTCTGTAATGGAAGACATCATTGTTCTAGACTTCTAAATTATTCTATTAACAATTTTGCAAATACTATCTAGCAAAGAAATTATATCAACCAGACACATAAGTAGATCTGGTAGCATAAATGCAATCAGCAAAAATAATAGTCAAGTTAGGCATGCAGGCACAGTCTTATAAATTTTTTTTAAAACTGCATAAAGTATAATATCCTCTTGTAATTTTAGTAAATGTAGATTTTTTTTCACTTCAAGGGCGTATTGATTTTATCTATCTTTTCAAAAAATCGACTTAGGCTTTGTGGATTTGTCACTAGAAATGGGATGTCTCTGAAGAAAGGTCTGAGGAATTCCCAGAGGGGAGGAGGATTTCAACCCAAGGTCAGTGGGGTTTTTGGCATACATGATGGAAAAGAATTACAACACGAGGCAAACAAAGGCATAGACACAGGTCTTTTAGGAAGCAGATACACATTCAAGGAAGAATGTCGGCTATCAAGAGAAGTCCTTCCTTGGGTTGGGACCCAGTACCTATAAAAAGGCTATAAAACTGAGTATATTTCACTCTTTATCCTAAATCCCTATTTTAGATTATGTTTATTTCCTATTTTTAGTTTTTTTTCATATTTTTATTTTCCTCCTACTACTTTCTTTAAGTTTAATTTACTGAGTGAGTGTGTCTATTAAGTTATTTAAAATTGAATCCCGGGCTTCATGAATGCTAGGTAAACTTTCTATCACTGAGATACATCCTAAGCCACTTAAAAAAAAAATTTAACTTTATTGAGACAGAGTCTTGCTAAACTGCCCTTGGCTGGCCTCAAACTTACCATCTTCCAAGTAGCTGAAATTACAGGCATGCACCATCACGTCTGACTAAATTCACTGAAATTTTAAGCTTTGTAAAATGAATGCTTAGCTTGTGGGGTTTTTTTATCCTTTCCACTTTTCTGATGTTTCTTTACAGCTAGACATTTTTCTATAAGCATGTACTAGCTATATTGTACCTGTTTGAATACCTAGTAGTTTCATCATTATTCAGTTTAAAATTTATGTAATTTCCATTAAAAAAGAAATCTCTTTTTTAACCCATGTGCTATTTAGAAATGTTTCTTAATTTTCAAGAATTTGGGAATTTTCTAGTTGTTATGGTTATGTAGTTTAATAGTAATGAGTTCAGAGACTATGCTCCATATGATTTTATTTAAAAAATACATTCTGAACCTGGCAAGATGATATATGCCTATAATCCCAACAACTCGAGAGATTGGGGAAGAAGATTTACAAGTTTGATGTCACCCTCAGCAATTAAGCAAGGCCCTAAGCAACCTAACAAGACCCTGACTCAAAATAAAAAATAAAAACAGTTGAGGATATAGCTCAGTGGTAGTGCACCCCTCCCTGAGTTCAGTCTTTAGTACCCCTACACACACACAAATCACCAATTTGATTTGTGGTCTAGTATATTGGTTAATTTTTAAAAGTTTTCCACCTGTGTGTAAAAACAGTGTATAATATATAACTATATAGTTATTAGGCACAATGTTCATGTAGTTCAAATTTTTTATAATGCTATTGAATTTTTTTCTGCCTATTTTAACAAATACTAAGGAAGGCAAGTTAAAATTTTCTATTATGATTATGGATTTTTTATTCTTTTTAACTGTCAGTTTTTGTTTTATGTATTTTGAGACTTTATTATTATATGCATACAAAAGTAGAACTGTTAAATTTTCTTATGAATTGAGCACCCCCGACACACTTTTTTTCCCCCTTCATAGTGCAGGAGATCAAACCCAGGGCCTCATGCATGGTAGACAAGTACTCTATCATTGAACTACATACCCAGCCTCTGAACCCTTTTATCATTATTAAGGATTCTTCTTCCTCTTCTTCTTCCTCTTAATCTTTTTCCTTCTCTCTTCCACTTCCTCCTCTTCTTCCTTCTCTTCCTCCTCTTCCTCCTCCTCTCCTTCCTTCTTCTCTTAAGGATCTCACTAAGTTGCTTAGGGTCTCACTAAGCTGCTGAGGCTGGCCTTGAATTTGCAATCCTCCTGGGTCAGCCACCTGAGCTGCTGGAATTATAGGTTTGCACCACTGTGCCCACTTGGCTCTTTAATTTTTTTTTTTTTAAATCTCCTAACTTCTATCTGAGATCTCTTTCAGCCTCAAGAATAATCTTTAAGTGGGCTGGTGTTGTAGCTCAGTGGTAGAGCGCTTGCCTAGCACATGTAAGGCACTGGGTTTGATCCTCAGCACAACATAAAAATAAGTAAATAAAAGTATTGTGTCCATCTACAATCCAAAATACTTTAAAAAAATAGTTATCTCATACTAGACAAAAGTGTCAAAAACATTCACTAGAGAAAAGATAGCCTCTTCAAAAAATGGTGCTAAGAAAATTGGAAATCACATGTAACAAAATGAAATTAAACCCCTCTCTCTCACCCTGCATGAAACTCAACTCAAGTGGATCAAACACTTAGGCACTAGAATAGAGACCCTGTGCCTAACAGGAGAAAAAGGCCCAAATCTTCATCATGTGGGCCTAGGATCTGACTTCCTTAACAAGACTCCTAAAGCGCAAGAAACAAAATCAAGAATCAATAAATAGGATGGATTCAAACTAAAAGCTTCTTCACAGCAAAGGAAACAATCAAGAACATGAAGAGAGAGTCCACAGGTCTGGAGAAAATTCTTGCTACCTATACCTCAGATAGAGCATTAATCTCCAGGATATATAAAGAACTCAGAAAACACCAAAAAAAACAAATAACCCAATCAATAAGTGGACAAAGGAACTGAACAGACACCTCACAAAAGAAGAAACATGAATGGTCAACAAATATATGAAAAAATGTTTAACATCTCTAGTAATTAGAGA